TGCAGCACCGTGTTGATATTTGCAGCACCGTGTTGATATTTGCAGTGGCCTCTGGTGCTCAACTCATTGTATGTGTAGGCTGGTATCATGGCTTCAATTCATTGTAGCTGATATTTGCAGCACCGTGTTGATATTTGCAGCACCGTGTTGATATTTGCAGCACCGTGTTGATATTTGCAGCACCGTGTTGATATTTGCAGCACCGTGTTGATATTTGCAGAGCCGTGTTGATATTTGCAGCACCGTGTTGACATATGTAGTACCGTGCTGACATATACAGCACCATGTTAATATTTGCAGCACCGTGTTGACATATGCAGCACTGTGCTGATATATGACCTTATGACCTTATGGTGAGTTTGTGACTTTTTAGTACCCGGTCACGCTGATGCGCCGCCTTCGTCGTCCTCCGTTTCTGAGTCGTCGCTAGGCAGGTCACCCCGCCCTCGGGTCCCGTATGTAGCGTTGGCCGTGTTCCGTCTATTTGCCCTCCTATGGGCCAGCTGATGCAAGATGCTGGTGCTTGTCACTTATTGAGGGTAGTTTCCCATTACTGGACAATCCGGGATCTTTCTCAACCACTTGTCCAGTCGTCTCATCAATGTTGCAAGGGTGAACTCCTCTCATCTCAGCACTTTTGGCAAGGCATTAATGAGCCTCGGTCCTGCCACGGACAGTGAGCCCTCACGAAAAGTCTGTACTCTGGCCGCGGCTCTGTTATTAAATGGGGGGAACCTTGCACAGTCTCGCCCTTCTTTCTTTGTAACGTGTCACTATTCTGGAGGTCTCACTCTCAAAGTTGGGAGCCAGTCCGGTTATCATCTTCCAAGTGTACAGTATGATATACCTTTCCCTTCTTCTCTCCAGTGAGTACAGTTCCAGGTGTTTCAGCCTTCCCCAGTAGTTCAGGTTCAGCTCCCCCATGCCGCTGATCCTGTACGTGAAGGTCCGCTGAACTGCCCCCAGTTTCCGCACCGCACCCGCCTTGAGTGGCAACCAAAGTTGGCAGCAATACTCAAGATTGGGAAGCACGAGGGCTCTGAAGATTGTAATCATTGGCGCTGCTTCTCTCGTTCGAAATGTCCGCCATATCCAACCTATCCGTTGCCAGCTACGCGCGACTATTTCCTCGATATGGGCATCGAACGTGGCTTCAGTACTCATCAACACTCCGAGATCTCGAACTAGTTGCTTCTCCTCAATTTCTGTGCCATCTGATGCCAAGTAGCGACGTGGCATCCCGATCTCTGAGCGGTCTCTGTATCTCATTACTTCGAACTTGGTGCCGTTGAACTGCATATTGTTCACTAGGGCTCAATCGTAGATTGTCGACAAGTCATCCTGTAACCACTCGCAGTCTAGGTCATCTGTGATCTTTATCAGCACTCATGTGACACTTTCACACTAAACTATTTATATTTTTTACTGACTTCCCTGATTTTCCGCCGAAACAATGAATTTAATCACTTGAGCCTTATGACTTGAGCATCACCGCGCTGACATTGCAGCATCGTGCTGATATATGCAGCACCACTGAGACGCAGCGAGTGGCTCCCGTCACTGAGACGCAGCGAGCGAGTAGCCCCCCTCCCTGCACCACTGAGCCGCAGCGAGTGGCACCCTCCCTGCACCACTGAGGCGCAGCGAGTGGCCCCCTCCCTGCACCGCTGAGCCGCAGCGAGTGGCCCCCTCCCTGCACTACTGAGCCGAAGCGAGTGGCCCCCTCCCTGCACCACTGAGGCGCAGCGAGTGGCCCCCTCCCTGCACCAATGAGGCGCAGTGAGTGGCCCCCTCCCTGCACCACTGAGATGCAGCAAGTGGCCCCCTCCCTGCACCGCTGAGCCGCAGCGAGTTGCCCCCTCCCTGCACCACTGAGGCAGCGAGTGGCCCCCTCCCTGCACCGCTGAGCCGCAGCGAGTGGCCCCCTCCCTGCACCACTGAGGCAGCGAGTGGACCAGCGTGTATTTCTTGCTTCAGGTTTTTACAGGCTTAAGCCCGGCCGCTGAATGCCGCACTCGCGGAATAAGAGAAAAAATTGTCCGGAATTTCGCCCAAAGCCCCCGCCTAACTGCGGCGATTGTGGGCGCTGTTGTTTCTAACAGCAGATTGACGGATTGTCGGACGCTCTATATTGACTGCGGGGCTCCAGCGTCCTGATTCATAAAACCATATACGGAACATTTTCCATTTCTTCTTACGGACAATTTTTAGTTAATCAGTAAGATTTTTATTAAATAATTTTTTATTTCCAGATTTCTTAGCTTCAATTATTTTGGAAGACGCCATTCTATTTCTTACACATACTTTAAATAAAAAACAACACCAACGCACAAACAGATGCGCGTGCACAAAACAAACGCACAATCTGGTGCTTATACACAACACCAACGCACAATTTGGTGCTTATACACAACACCAACGCACAATTTGGTGCGTATACACAACACCAACGCACAATCTGGTGCGTATGCACAACACCAACGCACAATCTGGTGCGTATACACAACACCAACGCACAATCTGAAACACCAACGCACAATCAGGTGCGTATGCACAACACCAACGCACAATCTGGTGCGTATGCACAACACCAACGCACAATCTGGTGCGTATGCACAAAACAAACGCACAATCGGTGCTCGTCGGTGCCTTGTCCGCAGTTCCGGACAGCCTGCGCCCAGGAGAACAATTCCGTCCGGAAAATTATCACCTGCAACTCCGGAGGCCCGGAGGACCGTAACACTTTGCTGTCCGCAAACGATGGACAAACGACTCTTGTTGGACGCCCGTTACTGCCTCCACGATCTACTTCTTGCTAAGAACCCAGCAGGTGTCTGCGTCTTAAGCAAATCTTGAAATTTTGAATATTTTTACTTTAATGCATGCACAGTGGTTCTAACCTTAGTTTAAGTTCAGCCATGAACATAAGAGAGAAACGACCGACACACTGTGTGTATTTATTAGGGACTATAATGCAAATGGTTCAATTCAAGTTACAGGCGGATTTCAGACTAGATGCGCCTGAGTAGACATTCCCTCCTTAAGTTTGATTTGCTTCGTGTAAACCCTGGAGACTAGGGATACCTGGTAGCATCGTGGCAGCCCTGGAGACTAGGGTTACCTGGAGGAATCGTAGACAACCCTGGTGACTAGTGATACCTGCTAGCATCGTGGTATCTCTGTCAACTAGGGTTACCTGGCAGCATCGTGGCAACCCTGGCAACTAGGGATAAACTTATCTTTCAATAAGTTATTAAAGTAGACAATCAGTGGGATTGCCTGAACAATGCTCCCCACATTCTCGATCATGATGGAATCAATATATTATCATTTCTATTATAACTATTTTATTTTAATTCGGAATAATTTTTAGCATATTTTTTTATTGTTATTCGTTTAGCAATGTTAATAACTTATAAACAAAGAAAATAGCCAAAAATTCACTATTTCTTATACTAGAGAACGTTGCGGAGTCCAGCTCCTTCGTCAGTTCAAAAACCTAAAACACAAGTGCAATCAATCAGCAGACTGAATTTCGCATTGAAGATAATAAAACATAAATTGTCAAATGAAAACAAATAAGAACGAGGCAAACATGAGCACACACACCTATCTATTTACAATTCCGAGTGTATATGAACTGTAGGCGGCATTTAAACCAGGCATTTAATTAAAAATATACAGGGCCTCTAAAATTCGCAGATCAGAAACACCGGTTGTGGAATATAACTCTAAAATCACTATCAGACATAAGGACGTTGTACTGATCGGCATGAATGCGTACTGCTGAATATGGGGGATGCACAAACAGGTTTCCTCTTCAAAAACTCCTTCCTTTATGCTCCGCCAGCCTAGTATAAAAAATGCATGATGTCATACCGACTATTCCAGAGAGTATAATGTTATTTGCATTGAAAATCTGATCAACTCATGACGTTCTTCCCATGTGGGGAATTAGGTGAAACAACAAATTCTCAGCAACAAACAATCTTGCAGCACCTGGAACTGAAGTTCCTCTAACAAATAACCTTGCAGACCTATATAGAACTGGAGTTCCCAGCTTATTTAACACACGTATTCCTCACTTGTTCCTGAAGCCCTTCCAGTTCAGGCGAGCCTTACTCATGCAAAGAAGAACTAATTGTCCCAGAACTGATGTGGCCGCCGCAGCTGCTGACTCAGCGGCGCCGCGATGAGCTCGTCCATCACGCGCCGCGGTCGCGATCGCGACGCATCGATGCCGGCGTAGATTGCGGCGCAAAACCCGGCCTACGAATTTGATTTGTGGCGAGAAAATCGAATGGACTGGGGACTGGACAGTCCACTCTACTGAACGATCTAGCTCTGGACACTGGACAGTCCACTCTACAGAACGATCTAGCTCTGGACACTGGACAGTCCACTCTACTGAACGATCTAGTACTGGACACTGGACAGTCCACTCTACTGAACGATTTAGTACTGGACACTGGACAGTCCACTCTACTGAACGATCTAGCTCTGGACACTGGACAGTCCACTCTACTGAACGATCTAGCTCTGGACACTGGACAGTCCACTCTACTGAATGATCTAGCTCTGGACACTGGACAGTCCTCTCTACTGTGTGATCTAGCACTGGACACTTAACAGTCCACTCTACTGAACGATCTAGCACTGGACACTGCACAGTCCCCTCTACGGGAGAAGTGGAGAAGTCCCTACTCCTGGACAGCAAATTACTACCATATACATGCATTTACTGTCGCGTACACGCATTCACTGCCTTTTGCACGCATACACTGCCTAGTGCACGCAGTCACTGCCTAGTGCATGCAGTCACTGCCTAGTGCACGCATTCGCTGCCACAGCACTCGCATTTTCTGCAAAAAATTTGTCTTCTGCTGAAAGCCTCACAGCTAGGGCAAGGGTGAAACATTGGGGCCTGCCTGGGCCCGAATTGTGAGGCGAATGTTGGCCAGAGAGTCCGCTGGAACCTGCTTGCTTTAACATGGAGTAGGCTAGAGGACCCGTCTGAGGCCCGCTGACTGAGGCAGTGGGTGGGGCAGAGGGCACACCTGAGGCTCGCTGGCTGAGGCAGTGGGTGGGGCAGAGGGCCCGTCTGTGGCCCGCTGACTGAGGTAGTGGGTGGGGCAGAGGACCCGTCTGAGGCCCGCTGGCTGAGGTAGTGGGTGGGGCAGAGGACCCGTCTGTGGCCCGCTGACTGAGGCAGTGGTGGGTGGGGCAGAGGACCCGCCTGAGGCCCGCTGACTGAGGCAGTGGGTGGGGCAGAGGACCTGTCTGTGGCCCGCTGACTGAGGCAGTGGGTGGGGCAGAGGACCTGTCTGAGGCCCGCTGACTGAGGCAGTGGGTGGAGCAGAGGACCCGTCTGAGGCCCGCTGACTGAGGTAGTGGGTGGGGCAGAGGACCCGTCTGTGGCCCGCTGACTGAGGCAGTGGGTGGGGCAGAGGACCTGTCTGAGGCCCGCTGACTGAGGCACCGTGCTAGTGCCTGTACCGTGCCTGTACCGTATCTGGGTCTGTGCCCAGTCAGTGAAAGTATCGTGGCTTTGCCATTGTTGAGTTTGGTTCTGAAATGTACCTTGATTTGGTCAGTTCTCTGCAGTCTGTTTGCTGGATTTTTGTGAAATTTTATTTCACATCATTATTTAATTTGGTAACGTGGCTCGCCCGAAAAGGTCAATATGGTGCGTTTAGACAAAATCTCTATAGGTCATGGTCATGGTCATGGTCATGGCTGACCAATTGCCCTCCTGATATTAAACTAATTTTTCATAACAGATATGACACCTTTCTTATTTTCAAGCATCCCTCTCATGTAAAACTTTTCTTCGATTACTTAAACTTGCAACATAATTCTGTCAAATTTACCATGGAACTTGAATCGAACAATAGTTTGTCTTTCAAGACTGCAATATTACTAAATCTAATGGCCGTTTTCAAACATCTGTTTTCAGAAAATCAACTTTCACCAGCCTAAGCACCAGCTTTTTCAGTTTTTGTTCTTTTAGATTCAATTTAAACGGGCTTCAAACACTATTACACCGCGGCTTTCGTATATGCTCGACTTTCCATGCCGTACATTCTGAATCTGAATTTTTGCGCAACGTCTTCTCGCTGGATTTCCTTCTGGTATGGTGTTTACCCAGATTAAGAAATTCATGTTTAAGCGATACAGTGAAGTTGTTCCAGAGCCTGATAGTAGAAAAGTAGTTTACTGTTCTTTTCCATACTTCAGCCATGCGTCCGAAGTTATGTCAAGAGAATTAAAAGATTTGTTTATGAAATACTTTCCGGACATTAATCTTCGTATCTTACTGGTTAATAATTTCAAAATAGGTTCGTTTTTTAGATACAAAGATATCCTCCCTTCTCACATGCGATCGTCCCTAGTTTATAAATTTAGTTGTGCACGATGTGCATCTGCGTACGTTGGGATGACGGCATGCAACCTCTACACTAGGGTCGCTGAGCATAAAGGGAGGAGTTATAGGACTGGGCAGTTACTATCGCGCCCTCCTCATTCGGCTGTTCGCAGTCACGCCGAACAGTGCAACGTTCCGGTGTCCGACACTGACTTTAAGGTTTTAGTTTATAGTTCTGGTGCTTCCGATCTGCGCATTTTGGAATTATTGTATATTTTTAAAGAGAAGCCTAGTTTAAATGCTGCCTACAGTTCTTATCATTAGAAATTGTGAATAGATAGGTATTTCTTTATTATTCTGCCCTTTGCCTGTAAATTTAGGTTTTAACTTCTGTTTTTTTTTCTTATGACTCCAAACTTTATTAATTTTCTGACTGTATTTGTGTTCTAGATTTATCAAACTGACGATGGAGCTGGTCTCCAAAACGTTTTCAATAGAGAAATACTGAATTTTGTGGCGTTTTCTTCGGTTTTAAATTTCTAGTGAATCTGCGATTCAAGCAGTCTAGTTACATTATTACTCTATAGGAATAGATCAAAATAACTAAGGTACATGAGGGTCCAAATGAAAGATTTTTTCCACTCGAAAATTCAACTGCCAAAATCAAGTGTACATCCTAATGCGAACAAATCCCTGTCACGCAAAAAAATAATATATAAACAATTTTCAAATTTGGCAACCTCAAATCGTTATTCTCAACAAACCATTCTGCAATTAACTGTCTCTAATAATTATTTAAACTTGAAAATATTACCAAATAACACTGGCCCTTAACGCCAGCACGTTCAATTGTACGCCCATGGTTGATCTATATTCTATATCAACCATGATCGCCTGTCAGTTCAGCTTTCTTGTTACGTCACTGAGACCGAGTAACGTAAACAAACCCGTCATTCCCATAACGGATTGGTTGACTGGTTTGATCGCATTTCGGTGATTGGTTAATGCCCGTGACGTCACTGAGATCAGTGACGTCACAGGCGAACAACAAACTATATCCGCAAAAATGAGCTTTTCATGGGTTAACCTTATACTAGTTCAACCATGGGTACGCCTGCCGTACACTACACATCGCGCCTCTTACATTACATAACACGCGTACCGCACACCTCACATCACACACAACGAACTCCTCACATACACCGAGCTCATCACACACACGTAACACTAATGCACGCCAGGTCTCCGGCGCCGCAAAATCCTCGCCAGCGCCGCAGTTTTGCGAGCGCGCGTCCAAAGGCCCGCAAAAATTCCATGAATTGGCGGACAGAACGTGCGAGAGCTCTTAGCCGCCGGCCCGTCAGGTGGCGGCATAGGACAGACCGACGCCCTGGGCCACCATGCCAGTCCGGTGGCCCGTCAGCTGGCGGGATGGCCGTGTGATGTCGGGCTGACCGTATTGTAGGCGGGATGGCTGTATCGTGGCGAGATGGTCGTATGGTGGCGGGATGGCCATATGATATCGGACTGACCGTATTGTTGGCGGGATGGCCGTATTGTTGGCGGGATGGCCGTATTGTTGGCGGGATATGGCGGGATGGCCGTGTGATGTCGGGCTGACCGTATTGTAGGCGGGATGGCTGTATCGTGGCGAGATGGTCGTATGGTGGCGGGATGGCCATATGGTTGGCGGGATTGCCGTATTGTGGCGGGATGGCCGTATTGTTGGCGGGATGGCCGTATTGTTGGCGGGATGGTCGTATTGTTGGCGGGATTGCCGTATTGTGGCGGGATGGCCGTATTGTTGGCATGATGGCCGTATGGTAGCGGGATGGCCATATGGTGGCGGGAGGACAGTATTGTGGCGAGATGCCGTATGGTGGAGGGATGCCGTATGGTGGCAGGCTGGCCGTATCGTGGCGGGAGGACCGTATGATGACGAGATGTATGGTGGCAAGTCGGCCGTCTGATGGCGCGTCGTCTGTATATTCGACATCATATGCAGCGTAAGTCATGGTTAAGGTGGACCATATCGCTGTCACTCCAGCCGTCATTAATGCGCGGTCTCGTAGAGGGATTCATTCAATTATACGTTAGGCCAGCGCCTTGGCTGATGTATTGCTGCTACGTGCATGTTCTTAGCGCCTTGGTTTACAGCCTTAGCTGTAAATCCGTCGTTTATCATCGCCTTATAGCATCATTGTGCTATCATTGGGCCAGACATCATCACCGTTTGCTTACATTTGAGGGTAACGATTATGCAAACGTGAACATAATGCTTACTCGCTAATTTTTATTCTAACCTCACATTTTTTAATTCAAACTATCAGATGAGCACACCAGCAAAGGAAAAGAGAAAAATGAAGATAAATTCAAGTGATTTTGCTAACTAGCGAGATTAGCGAGTGCCCTAACCTCAACTTATGGTCATTCAAGTTTCTGGAAAAAAATTAAATTTTGGCACTTGCGATTACAGAAAATTTTTCGGCCAATAAACCACTTGAAATGGCATAAACATTTCAGTTATCAATCATAGTATTTGTTTCATTCGCATGTCCTGTGTTTCGACTAACCACTAACATCATCTTTTGTGGTAATTTCGAGCACAACAGTTTCACTATTTATTTTGATGTCCTGTTGGAGCAGAGGTAATACTTCATTTCAGCTATTAACCCTAATATTCGCTACAAAACAGCAGCAGCAGACATTGCAGCAACAACAGAAGCTGCGGCCGGATGTGCATTACAGTTTTGTCCAGGCCCACTCCCACGATGCGAGGTGGTGTACTGTGCTGCAGTTCATTCCTCTCATCATTCCTAAATAGTTACAGGATTTTGCGACTAAAATCAAGATACATTGGAGGTGAAATGCAACCACTATCGGGAATATGAAAGGGAATCCTGCCCAGCTTTTTTTAAATTTTCTTTGTCTTTCTCTCTCATTGGGCGTCTACCTCTCCCTTACCATGTTTTTGCCTCTCCTTCACCGGGTCTCTTCTTTACCGGACCTTTTCTCATCCTTTACCGGGTCATTGTCTCTGCTTCACTGGGCCTTCGATTCAGGATTCGAGTCAGGATCGCATACATACATTTTTACTGATCCACCGTATCTCCTTTACTGATAGAGTACTGCACTACTGCTTCACTGCGCACCACTACTGCCTCACTGCGCACCACTGCGGCAAGCACTGCATGCAAGCACCCTTCACTGCGCGCCAATTGATCGCTGAACTCCACTCGATCTGATCTTACCTATACAGTGTTTTCCTTCTATAGTTCTGAAGAACTTGGCCGGCACATCGGTGGCCAAACCAAAACCTTCGGTGACCGCTGATGTGCTGGCCAAGATTATCTTCAGGGGCCCTACAATATCTGCGGGCGTTGCAGGCGTTTATTTCCAGCGTTTTTGGCCGACATTTTGTCTTGGCCTTCGCTCCGTGGAAATCAAATCTGGGCGCGTGTTGATGGAGGCCTTCGAGGGGCGAACTTCGGTGTATTGCTGATAGAAAAAAATATATAGAAGTAAATTTTGATGTATTGCCGATGGAAATATTTGTTCCATGTGAATTTTGATGTAATGAAGATAGAAAGAAAATTTTTTGAGGTGAATTTTAAAGTTTTGTAGCTAGAAAAACACGTCGAGGTATATTTGATGTGTCGACGCTACAAAATTCATCGAGGTGAACTTTGTGGTATTAACGATAGAAAAAAATACATCGAGGCTCACAGCGGTGTATTGCCAATATATGTAATCCAGCGAGGTGAATTTTGATTTATTGACTCGCAAATAAATACTATAGAGGCATGCCTGGCTGTTTTCTACCGCAGAAATTCTCGGGAGCAAACCTCGATGTATTGCCGCCAGAAAAATGTACTAAATGCTTGCCTTCAGGTATTTTTGCTAAAATTTTCGGAGTCAAGCCACGACGACCTGCAACCTCATTAAATACCTGAAGGGAACTGATGGTGCGTGCAGCGTGCGCAATGATTATAAGCAATTTTGAATTAATATTATGTCTATCTTATACTAATAAAATTAGTCAGCGAATCATTTTGGCTTTTCTTAGAAGCTGTGGCCTTGCAGACGGCCTTCCTGACTCATTATTGTTCCATGATAGAGGACTACTTGCTTAATGAGTCAGGCTCGAACACCTCTGGAATAATTAGTAGTCGATGAGTTGACGAGTGGAAGTGAGGCAAACGAATAACTGATACATCATTTATTGTTGTACGATCGAGTCCTCCTAAACTATTTGATTCTGCTGGTGTATTTAATGTTAAACTACCGACGCAGAACTCGTTTGAAACACAACACGATGCACAACACGTTTGAAACACAACACTATGCACAACACGTTTGAAACACAACACGATGCCAACACGTTTGAAAAACAACACGATGCCAACACGTTTGAAACACAACATGATGCACAACACGTTTGAAACACAACACTATGCACAACACGTTTGAAACACAACACGATGCAGATGCACAACACGTTTGAAACACAACATGATGCACAACACGTTTGAAACACAACATGATGCACAACACGTTTGAAACAAGTCGTCGTTTCTTCGTATGTGACATTTTATCTGAGCAGCTAAGCGAGGGTTTCAATGAAACACGTTGTGGTCCAAATCAAACTTTATTGCAAATAAACACTTTAATGAGATATACACTTGATATACACAACAGATCTGAAGTAAATACAATATTACTAGACTACCCTTACACTTAGCACGATTGAGCTGAGGGCCGAGCGCCGGTTTATGAACTGTAAACCTTATCACCACTCAATTGATTCATCTTCGACTCCTAAGCAAGTACACAAGATTAATTATAATGATTAATTAAATATGACTAGTACATTCATCGACTCTAAGCATTTACACGAGATTAATAATTATGATGATTAATTAAGTAGATGACGGTCATGACGGGATAATGATACAGACCTTTACTTCAGCAGTGATCAGGCAAATGATGAGTGCAAGAATACTGGTAATTCTAATGAAAATGCTGAAAAAAATGATGGGGTAGTAGTACATGTTAGGATTAAGAATGATGGAGGCAGCGGTACATGTAATGATGAAACAAATGTTCAGTAAATCAGGATCACAATAAGAGCAGTCACACAACGCACGATTAGCGGGATGTGGATGACAATGATAGAAACCGGATTAGAGGACTGATAATGGCAAAAAATTTAATGGTAAGTGCAGTTATCTATGAACAATGATACTTGCTGTGATGGTGGCTCAAGTCACGGCAATAATGAGCGCAATTGAACAACTAGAGTTGCGGTCGCATTTATGCATTCCCTCAACAAAAGCCCCCCTCCAGGCAAATGACGGTGAAACAACGTTTAATAAACGTAATTTCAACATCAAATGCCTAGGAGGCCGGAAAACATGGCATAGCCACAACATGAACAGTTCTTTATTCATATATATTGAAGAACAATGAGATATAACAGCGCGTAACACAATACACATCATTGGAATATTGTTACATTCAAATTTATAATACCAGACTGTGGAGCCTTGAAGCTGATTTGAAATGATGAATAATTTCCGATCATATCACTGCGGCGCGTTAGATGGCATCACTGCAGCGCGTTAGATGGCATCACTGCGGCACGGCATGGCATCACTGCAGCACGTTAGATGGCATCACTGCAGCGCGTTAGATGGCATCACTGCAGCGCGTCAGATGACATCACTGCAGCGCGTTAGATGGCATCACTGTAGCGCGTTAGATGGCATCACTGCAGCGCGTCAGATGGCATCACTGCTGCGCGTCAGATGGCATCACTGCAGCGCGTCAGATGGCATCACTGCTGCGATCAAACTTTTTGAAATTCTTCCCAGAATTTCAAAAAAGTATGGCAGCTTTCCCAACAAAACTTGGACTGAGATTTGCGATGAAAAAGCTGTCCGTTCGAGCACCTTCCCCACCACCTACTCCATCGTCTGCTCCATCATCTGCTCCATCACCTGCTCCAACGACAACTTCATCACTCTTCTGCTCCATCACCTGCTCAACAGGTTTTCTCTGGTGCGGTTTCCTGCTCGTCAGGCTGAGCAGGAAGTTGCTGCTCACACCACCTGCAGCTGTCAAGTCAGTGTCTGCAGCAGCAGCAGCAGCAGCAGCAGCAGCAGCAGCAGCAGCAGCAGCAGCCACTACCTGCACTGCAGACCTGCACCTCCGTCGGAAAGACACAGACGCCGGACAGACATCGTAGGTACAGAAATTATCGTAGAAACTTATATATCATATATATGGTGGTTTTGTTATTCTCGTAGGTGTATCGTACACTTATTGTGTTCCTCGCAGGTATCGTTCGAATCATGGTTGTCGTGGGCATCACTGGGATGGTAGTTATCTTAGGTATCGTGACATGCCGTTATTGTAACTTGATGAGTATCCTAGGTAGCGCTAGTATTGGACGACGTTTGAATATTGTTGCCAGTATCGATGAGGTATGTATGAATTGTAAGCATTGAAGTGATAACAAGTATACAGTAAAATTTAGTTGCAGGGAGAAGCCTTGTTGGCATCAACGAGGCGTGGCAGGAGAGCTGGTACAGGGCCGGCATGTCCGCTTTAGAGCCAGGTGGCAATGAGGTCTGACAAAGTTCTTTTTTTAGGAATTACACAATCAACTTTAATGGAGAATGAATTATATTTTTTTCTGGTAATTGAAGTGAATTTAATATAGATTGAAAAATATAATAATTTGGCAAATTAATAAATTAGGCATTCACAGTGACAGATTCTTCATCAACATGAAAAGTTGCAATTTAACATTGATAAAAATTTTTACATGTCTGCAATATTTCGGATTATTTTTCACGATCTGAATATAAAACGAGTAAAATATTTTCACATTAAATAATTTCATTTTTTATCCGCTCAAATCAATAGGAGCCAAATTATATTATACGATGTTAAACGCATATTTCTGGCAAGAATTGTCATCAAAACAATGAGTGGGACGAGTTTTTTTGCA